TTTTTTTGCTACTCTATTTTGACGCTGCTTTTATTCATGTATTAGCACTTATTACATGTAACCATCACTATTTAATTAATATTGTCGAGATCGGTTGATAATCTCTTGGTGTGGTTTTTTCATGGCCCGATCTTTGATGACCAGAAGGTTCATTGATCCCTAAGTTACTATACGCCTTTTAGCCAGTTTTAAACTTTCGACAAGACGAAGTCAGGCACGTAATTTTGATATTTTAAACCGGACACTAAGTTGATATGTATACTGTGCCTCACTTAATGGAACCTGGAGCTCGTTAAATTCGCTCCTTAATATCCGTATATTTTCTACTTTTATTTTACTTCATAATGATATCTGATTCACAAATCAGGCAGGCAGTTTTTCTATGCCTTTTTAGCTTTCATTCACTTTATCGAATTTGTATTATGAAGTTACTTACTATGCAACTTTAAAACTTGTGGACTTCCAGTGAAACAGATATTTCTATTATATCGAATTAGCTAAAGACGATAAATGTTTTTGTGTTTCATACATTCTTTCCTATCTTTGAGCGCCATTTTGATATTTATGCTGTCTTTGAATTCGAAAACTAATTTGATTGCTGATCACTCTGAAGAATATTTAACATTGTATTATATTATTACATATATGGCATTTTATCCAAAGCATTCTCCGCTCTAAAAATACACTTAAAATAGAAAGCTTGAGCCTTATTGTTGCAATTACTTCTCGATGGATTGTACCAGGAAGATTAAGCTTTAATCAACTAACTTATTCGTCATATACGAAAAGGTGAGCGATTACTTCTCCTGGATGTTGAAGTCATTCGCTCTAATGGGACGCTCAAGAAGAAATTGTTCAGAAAGGAGTCATATGCCGGAATAATACTCCAGACCCATTACAACTATAGACTAAAGATAGGAATAATGAAGAGAATGCTCATCGGAAGCTTACGTTTAACGGATGTAGAATTCTGGGATGAATAAATGGACAAATTGACTAGAATATTCCTGGGAGACGGCTATCCAAGGGAAGTAATACGGAGAAACATATGGGCTGTGAAAAGCCGATGGCAGAACGGGGACTACAAAAGAACAGTAAGGACGGAGAAGGATTCACAAAAGTGGATAGGCCTACCTTCCTGCTTTCTAACTCAAAAACTACGGCTAATACTAAGAAAATGGAATATTCGAATGGCCATGTATGAAAGGATAACTCTCTTCTCAAGTTTACCCACGCAACGGGAGAGGATGGACAAATTAGATTGCTCGGGAGTTTCCTGCATAGCATGCGGAGTCTGCAAACAGAAATATATTGGCGAAACAGGGAGAAAAATCAACATACGAATCAAAGAATTTCAAAGGCTCTTTACGAAAATGGATACCAAAAGATCAGAATTAGCGGAACACATCGCACAGACTGCACACGAGATTAATTGGAAGGCAACTGAAAGAAGGGCCTTATACAATGAAAATACAAGGAAATGGAAGATTAGGGAGGACATTGATATCCTTGGGGAAAAAAGCTAATGAATAGGAGATTAGAAGTCAACGTTACCGATACCTTTGCCTATTGTTTAAGCAAACTCGGAGGAAACAATGATACGGTACGACCAGCAAAAAAGAGACGCCTGGATCAAGGGCGTATCGTCAAACAGAGGTAAAAGGATCGCGATGAGAAAGGGGGTGTAAATTTTACGGAAATCAAGCGAAGACGTTCTTGATGAGGGTAGTCTGTTGGAAGAAACAATTACAACTTTGAGTCCTGGCAGTAAGGTGACTAGGGAGACAGACAATCATAATCGTCACAGAAATTCGGCATTACAGCCAGAATCTACTAGAATCCACACTAAATGCAACAGATCTCAAGGGATAAGCGTCCACAGTTTGCTCAGGCTACACGGGTTTAATCTAAGATACGGCCCGTGAAGGCAATTCCTAATATCTACAAGCATGGGAATCAAAGCCTAAGCGATTTCCTCGGTAAAGCAACATTGTGTGTGTTTCTAATGGCTTGAGAAAAAAATTACACGGGCTGATTCCGAGTGAAATCGGTCAACCAAAAAGATAAGAAACTTATATACGGGACCATAAAGGAAATCATGTTGGCAGATCCTAGTCGGATTAGCTGTTCGAAGGAGAGGGGATCAAGGTGAACAGCAGGTATGAGGACGCCACACTAAACTTGCCAAAAAGTACACACTTTTTGAGGAGTAGAATGTTAACAAGTCAGAAGTTGCGATAGGGCGGGACTATGATAAGAGGGTAAGGAGTATATAGGTGGGCTAGGACAGAAAAGGGAGGGATAGCACAACCGTTTCAGAAAAAACTTTGTTTTAGGGATTGGCTTAATTTGTCTCTAACGAATTGTAGCTTAGTGCCTAGAATGGCAAGACTCACTGACGATGCCGGCTAAACGTCTGAGAATGTACCACGTCCACGGTCCTGCGCTGGGAATTATATTGAATTATATTGGAATTATATTGCTATTATGTGCGATGAATTCGGACAAAATGCATCCAACTAAGTCTCTCTGATGACACAACCTAGTTGTGATAACGAGGTCAGCCCACTTTAGCCTGATTGCTGCATTGACTTCTCGATGGACTAAATTTCAATAATCTAACACTTATTAGTCTTATACCAAAATTATTTAACCAACTCTAGCAGCAAACAGCTTCCTAAAGACTGTTTTATTTACGTGTTGAAATATTTAGTTTATATCTTAGCATATAAGTTAAACTCTTATTTTAGCCATATGTACTTCACGAGCATCCTTTGATTTTATTCTTACCATAGCCGAATCTGAAGCTACCTCCTCCACTGGTCCGGCTGTCGCTCGTGCTTACTACACAGCCGAATGTCGGCTTGATTTTGACAGAACGCGCCATTTGACTGCTGCCTCCTGCGCTGAAAGAACTTCACTACGCCGACAGCTAGAGCATAGGCTGCTAAGGGCTCACCGCAAGCGCTTAGCTGCATTGGCTGCCGCAGAGGCTGAGCGTCTAAGGCAAGCTTCTTTGGCTGAGGCGAAAATGCGTGCAGACGCCGCTCAGCGCCAGGCCAAGCGAATGGCTAGGGAGGCAAAGAGAAAGGAGAAGGTAAATTATAATTATTGCTGCCACTTGATGAATTAATCTTATTAATTTTTGATAAGTCTAGTAACGATGCGCATAATCCTCTGCATAATACGTGTAAAGGTTGCAGAAAATCTTTTAGAATACGGCCTGAAGGTTCTAAGCAGGAGAAGTGTATTTCCTTGAATACCATGATAATTGCGATAGTGAGTCTCACTTTTTCTCTTAGTTAATTGCCTTAGCTAATAGTGTTCTCAAACTAAACTTATTAACTCATTTCACTCTAGTTATCGTGATGTCTCTGATCACGAAGGCCTAAACGAGAATACTA